TAGACCTGGCACCTTGCTTTCTTCTCTCTCTCTGTCCCTCTCTGATCAAATTAAAATAAATAAATAAACAATAAAGCTGAATAAGATAATAAAATAATTCTTTACAAAAAATGAATAGATAAAATTAAAGTAATTCTTTTAAAAAAATTTAAAAAGGGGAACTAGCAGTTAGCGTCATGGCTATGTCGCTGGACTCCCACGTAGTTGACCGCGGTTCGCGTCCCGGACCCGGTGGCTTAAAACTCACACCGGGTGCATATGGGTGTGCATGCCCAAGATCCCGAGAGGAGAATGGAGGAGAAGGGATTGCGGCGTGGCCATTCCCCCTGGGGGGTGATTTCTCTCTTTCTGTCTCTATGTCTCTCTCTGTCTGCCTGGCGAGTGCACGCACCCTATAGCAAAAACCTCTCCAAAAAAAAAAAAAAAATTAAAAAGGAAGTGCTGTCATTAAACAGATCCACTGGCCAGGGTTGGCAGAGTGCGGCCGACACCGAAGCGCCTTCCGGAGCCCACCCCCTGCTAGCCCCAAGCCCGACCTGTAACCAGGACCTACCTGTCCTTACAGAAGATTTCATTACAGAGCGACCTTGCAGATTTCTACAGGCTTATCCCCCCACACTGTGACTTAGCTTATAAATGATTTATTTTATCTACAAGAAGTCTTCAAGAAGTTAGTGAGGGGCCAGCAAGAGGCGTGGTGGTTAAGGCGCTGGACTCCCCCATGGCTGACCGCTGTTCGAGTCCCAGAATGGTGCCTTGTTTTCTCACTTTCTCTCTCTCTCATGTCTCTCTGGTAAGTGCACATGCCCTATAGCAAAATTAATAATAATAATAGTAATAATAATGATAGTAATGGAGCCAGCAGGTGGTATAGTGGTTACATCACTGGACATCCAGATGGCTGAGAGCAGTTCAAATCCTGGACCTGGTGGCTTAAAAATCACTCCGGGCACATGTGCCTGCATACCCAAAATCCCAGGTGGAGAACGGAGGAGAAAGGGATTGCAGCATGGCGATCCCCTCTGGGGTGGTGATTTCTCACTTTCCCCCCTCACTGTCTCTGTCTCTCTGTGTCTCTCCAGCAAATGCATGTGCACCCTATGGCAAAACAAAACAAAACAAAAAATCTCTAAATAAATAAACAATGAATGAAATAAATAAATAATCTTTTTAAAAAGTAGGTGAGAGGGTCAGCCCCGTGGGCTATGGGT